CTTGGCCAGCCCGTCCAGATGCGTCGAGTAGTTGTAGGAGTAGCCCTTCCACGCGTTCGGCGCGGACACGTTGTGCGCGAGCACGTTGTTGATGGACACGTCGGAAATGGTGCCGATCCACTCGTCCATCACAACTTGAGCATCGCCGATGCCCGGCCGCCGCAGGCGCGCGCCGACGACGATGAAGGCCAGGGCCTGCACGTTCTGCGCGCGGATCCGCTCGTAGCGGACCCGGGAGATGTGGGACCCGTCCATGGTCACGATGGACATGGCCGCCTTGGCGGCGCCGAGCACCGTCACGTTGTGGAATAAGATGTCGGAGATGTTGCCCACGGTCTCCGAGCCGATCTGCAGGCCGTTGCACTTCTCCGAGCGGACGACGGAGTTCGTGACCTGGACGTCGTACATGGGCAGGACGCGCCGCAGCGCCCAGTCCGACTTGAGCGCGATGGCGTCGTCGGAGCCGCCGCGCACGTGCAAACGGTCGAGCTTGACGTGGCGCGACGAGATGACGTTGACGCCGTCGCGGGCCGCGGCGACGTCGACGTGGCGGACGACCGCGTGGGACGCGTTGTTGAGCAGGAGCGTGATCCAGCCGCCGCGGGCGAGGCGCAGGGGCTCGCCGGCGCTGCCGTGGATGGCGACGTTCTTCGACGACTTTCCGGGCACTTCTGGTGCCAAAAACCTATGGCTAGATGGCATCACGGACAGCCCCGTCGACGGAACCAACCTCCTAGAGCCGCCGGTCGAAGCCTCTCGACTCAAAACTGCCGCCGTAGGGCCGGTTCCGTGCCTCGAGATCCGCCTCGTACTCGATTCGGGGGCCCGCCGACCCGTAGGTGGTCGAGATTCCTGTGTTATTTGGTGCGGCTAGTCGCCCACGCCCCGGGGGGGCTTCGATCCGCCGAGAGGACGAGAAGAGACGACTCAAAACGACCGACGTGGCATCGGTTCGAACGGATACACTCCCAGGAACGCAGTCCCTACGGGCCAAGGTGCCCGAGCTGAATGTCCATTATACAGAAATTGCGACCACGAACCCCAGCGCACCCCGGATGGGTTAGGAAAACACCAAGGGGCCCCATGCCGGCGTCGTAGGCGACGCCCTGGTACTGCTCCGTGACGATGTGCGTACAGCGTCCGCGGAGAGCACGATCATGGAGACCGCGGCGTCACGTTCGAGAGCGGCGTCTCCAGCGTGATGAACTGGTCGATGGCGAGGAAGGCTTCGGGCTGGAAGGTCGCGACCGTCGTGGGCGTCGTCTTCGAGGCCTCGGTGTTCTACGTGACGACGAGCGCCTCGCTCGACGAGGGCGTGCCCTTCGCCGATGCACGACGCCGCTCGCCGCGTCGCCGACGCCGACGGTCTTCTCGATCGACACCGCGCCGCGCTCCACGAACGACGGCTCCAAGACCTCCGCGCAGCTGAAGTCGAAGAAGGCCTGGGGCCCCCGGGCGCT